CATTAGTTTGCGTGAATACTTCTTCCAAGGAGGCTTTGAGTGGGTGATATTCTCGAAATTTGTATGACTAAGTCATAGGACGTTTTCTTTCTCTCCTATCCTTCTTTCTTTCGGGCTGAGGACTGCCGCTTGGTTGTTTTTTTTTCTTTCATCGTATTACTGAGGTTGGGTTTGCATCTGGCTTCCTCTTGGTCAAAGGTTGCCTCTTCAGCACTTATGTATTTTTCAGCTCGGTTCAAGAACTCGTGATAAGTTCTTAGGCCGTCCTAGTGTACTGACCACCAAAATCTTGTTCTGGGCCTAAGTCCTGTTAATACGGCCATGAGTGTCGTGTCGTCAAATACTTTTTTCGTTTCCATGGATTGTTTGTTGAATATGCTCGATAGCTTTTGAGGGATTCACTTCTCTCTGTTTGATGCTTACTAGCCATTCTTTGGGTATGGTTCTGGCCCTTGGAGCCCATGAACTGGACCAAGAATGCCGTTGCCAGATCATTCTAATTTTTTACCGACCTCTGGTGCAGTCTCCTAAACCATCTCTCAGCTTTGTCTCCCAGAGTCAAGGGGAATGCCCGACACATAATTGCGTTGCTTGACCCCTGCAGTTCCATCCATGAGGTGTATTTGTCAAGATGGTTGAGGGGAACACCATCCCCTTCGTATGCAGCCATCTGGGGGATTTTCAATTTTTCAGGTAATGGTTCCATAAGGACATCCTCAGTAAAGAGGAAATGTTGTTTGGTGAGATAATCTTCAGTGCCACCTTTGTTTTTAACCTCCAAGTCAGCTATGCGTCTTTTCAGCGTGCTCAACTAAGGTTCTCTCTGCTTCAAAGGACGTTTAAGGTCGGGGTCGGTTTGTCCTTACGTAGGAGTTAGCGAGTGCTGGGTCTCCAGTTTGTCGAACACATTGCGAGTCCTCCTAGCCCTGGGATCCTTACTCCTGACTTCGTCAGTTCAGCTTCTTGAGGATTCTCCTCTTGAAAATGGAGAGTCCTCCTGGTGGGGGGACGTCTTGCTCTTGTCCTCGCAGGGGATTCTGTCTCAGTATCTGGTGGGGATAAGTAAGCTTGACTCCGTTCCAATCGTCCCACTGTATTTGTCAATTTTTCCAGGGCTTCCCTCATGGCGATCATCTGAGGGTCTTGTCATTGTGGAGAACTAGGTGGAGTATTCATTTCATGAGGGTAAGTATGAGATGGGTTTCTAGAACTTGAGCTATGACTCATGGCTCTCGAATTTTGTGGGGAAAATGAGACTATTTTTCACAATTGAGGGCCCTCCTTCTAGCGCCAAACTATTGATATCAAAATTAGCTTGGCTAATTTTAAGCCAACTTTAAAAAAAAGAGGAATTTATTATTGAAAGAAACCACAAAATATGTTGAGAAAGTGTAATTGTGCCATGAGCTTTTACATGAATTCACTTGCCCTTTACAAGATTTATGCCCTACTATTTATACATGGCTCCAGTCGAAATTACATCAAATCAGTCAAATCAACTATAGTATCGAGCTCGAAACTTGGGTCGCTAAATTCTCCTGTGATTGGTCGACGAGGCAGGTGGCCATGTGTCAATGTTTCCCCCAGGTAATGATGACCTACAAGGGGCTTGAGAATCATGGCTTCGGATTGGCGATTTTGGGCGGTGATGACGTCACTTGTGGCAAGTGTATATGATTGATAGGGTGATGTGACAGGAGGTAATCATGATATTTTCCTAAGATAACGGCGAGCTAGTCCAATCTGGGAGCAGTGACCGAATTCACATCTGCCTTTGGTAGGATTAACGAATTGTTTTTGTTAGATCAGAGTTTGGTGATCAACAGCGTACATTATTACAATTGTGATGCCTTAGTGATGCGGGCTATTGTAGCAAAAAATGGTTTGAGTCGCACGCTAGTGAATGTCAACATTTTGTTTGGAGCCACTTATGATAAGATGCTGACGGGTCATGAACTCAACCCATGAATGCCCCTTATATGATTTCACTGGTGATATCATTGTTCCTAGGGGAAGGATTAGGTTGGCTGTGGAAATGGGAACACTTCCTTTTAATGAGTGTTTAAATTTATGTATTAACAACTAATTTTTATATATCAAATGTAATATAAAAAGATTGCTCATTTATAAATTTCATCATTAAAAAAAATTTTTGAATCATAAAATTGAGTTTTGAGTGTACAATTTAAGTATAATTTTCTTCTCTTAAATTTTTGAATTGAGAGTACTCATGGCACTTCTTTCCAATCTGTCCCAAATCCAAACATGCTTTAAAATTTTATATCATGTGACATGTTGAATCAGAAACATTATCTTTTTAACTTGCCGCTCTAGTGGAGTGGCGGTTATGACCATATTAATTTTTCATTTTTTTAGTCAGTACGTATAAGTTATAATACTAATAATAGAACAATGTTATGAGTAACTGCTCTTTGTATAAATTAAAGAAGGAAAATAGACAAGATTAA